CCACCCCACCCCAGGCAGCTGGATGCCCAGCACAGATCAGCACGGACTCGCTTGTGCTTCTAATCATGCGCTGAAGTGTGGCCGTAGTGTGCGGATGGGTGTGAACAATGCCGTGCTGGCTGCCTCTGAAGTTGGTAATTTATTCTGTTGCTGTGGAGATTTCCACAAGCCAGACCTCTCTCTCCACGCGCTGCCATTACTTTCTACTCCTCTGTGGAATAGCAAATTTGCCCCTTTGGGGTCAAAAGCTCCCAGCGTGGGTTAAGGGGAGCAGCCACCCACCTTTCCAGATTTGCAGGAGCCCTTCTGGTCCACAGGATGGAAGGCTCCAGAGAGCATCTTCCACCTTCACCCACAGCCCAGCCTCCTCCAAGCTCCATGCTGATCTTTGCCGCTAGGGATAGGAAGCCCCCTCCCCATAAAGCAGGCCAGACCTATCCAGCCTCGCAGGGTGAGTGACCAGAGCAGAGGCCCTGGGCCTCAGCATCTGTCAGCACAGCCCAGCACCAGTGGATTTGTAGTCCCAGTCATCTGGGAGACCTCAAGCAAGGTCTTGGTGGCCAACAATTTTAAGGATGAACTGGCCCGGCCGAGCCTCGCTCTGATCAGCCAGTTCCCACGGGCACGGGTACGGCTGCAGCTGGCAGCCCATCCTTCCCAGGCCTTTGGGGCCAGTATGCAAGATTCCCCTGCTTGCACCCAGGCAGGTCGGGCTTAAGGCCTTGTGAGGGCAGATCCTGCTGTGCCTCCATCCAGACAGAAAAGGCCCCCGGCTTGGCCGGTTTCAATGAGGGGGAATCTTTTGCTTCCTGGGAGGCCCAGCTCAGGCCTTGCATTTGGGCCAGCGGGCAACCGTCAGGAGGCAGCCTCCACCCACAGGGGATGGAAAGGCCGGGCTAAGGGGAACAGGCACGTGCCAGCCTCGACCTCCAGCCACCTCAGCCCCCACCCCACCAGGCTCTGTTGCTGCTGCTCTGGCACTACGCTCTCAAGCCCCACAGCTAGCCTGAGAAGGAGCATCTTCCTCCCCACCCAAAAGACCCCAGCTACTGGTCCACAAGTCCCACACTTGATGGGTGCATGGCGCCGTATGCTGCGGCGAGAGAGGCTGCTCCGAGTGCAGGCCTGCTGGCCACCTGCATCCTGGAAAGGGAGCAGACCCTCCGCCCTCGGCTCATAAACTCCTCTGCATCTACAGCACCTCTCTCCCCGCTCTGAAACGGTTGCAGGGAAGTTCCAGAGTAGCCCCGTGCCCAGTAGTCCCCGCGGGAAGCCCCCACCCACCCCCCAGCCACAGATGTACTTCAGTAGAGGGCCAACTTCAGTGGTCTCCAGGCACACGCAACACTCTGCACAAGAGCATCTGGCTGCAGGAGGGGCTGGCACCAAAGAACAGCAGGCGGCATGCGCTGCCTGGCCTCGGGCCAATCTCCTCCCCCCACAAATAGTATGTGCCCTGCCCAAGCAAAGTAGACGAGCGCCTCTCCATTTGTTTTACTTTGGAAACAGGGCTGGATCTGCAAGCAACCTCGACCAGATAATCAATCCATTCTTGCTATACACACCTCCTCCTCTCTTCATATCAAGTCACGCCATCGAGGGGACCGCCCCCCGAGCCCCCCGTCCCAGTTTAACCCTAGGCAGTCCCCACAGGGGGTCCACCTGCCTCCCCGGCAGCCCCTCCACAAAGCGAGAGCGCTTGGGCCCGCAGCACGCCAGAGCCGCCAGCCCCCCCATGGGGAGGGACGCTGGCGGTCTGGGAGACAGGAGGGACACGCGCAGGCAATTAATTGGCGGCAAGGGTTGATATCAGGAGTGACGAAGAGCAATCGCAATTCCAGCGCCGTCCCACTGAAGCCCAGCGCTGGGAGAGGCCTGCAGCGGCTGCGGCCCAAGCAGCCTTCCTGGCAGGGAGGCAGAGCGGCGGGGGGGCATAAGTGCCAAACTGCAGGAATAGAATTGAAGGCTGCCAACGTCACTCCGCTCACGGAGCCACCAGGGAGAGATGCCACTGGACCAGGGCTTCTTGGAGACGCGTGTCTCGACTGTGAAACGGGAGTTTGCTGAAGAGTTTTTGGCATGAGCCCCAGGTGTGCTTAAGCCCCTGAAAGGAAATCGCCCCCCTCCTGGAGCTGCCCATCGGCCTCCCTCCCTCTGGAGGAGTGCCTGCCCTGCACCTCTGCCCCTGCGCCTTCCCAGGGCTCAGCCACAGGGCTCCTCCCCACGGCCCTGCCAAGAGGCTCACCCGATGGCTCAGGACTGCCTCCCTCCCACCGTCCCTGCCCCCAGAGCAGCCAGACTGCCAGGGCTCCCCATTCCAGCCACCTCCACCTCCCGAGGCCAGACGCGGGTGGTGGTGGGTGCCAACTGAAAGAGCCCTCTTGCTTCTGATTTGAAAGAGTGCTCCTGGTCCCCATAAATATCTTCATAATCAGCAGATGACAGCGCAGGGACTAGATAGCAGCCACAGCAGCTCGGCGGAGCTGAGATAAAATACCACTTTTCCAAGGTTGGCTCAAATGCAGTGGCCGCCGCCATGGGTGGCCAAGGGTGGCATCTCCTGTGGTCTACAGGCTTGATGACAAGGGCAGCCCCCACCCCCCCGGTGATCTGAGCATCAGTCAGCTTCGTCAGGGACGTTGTCTGCATGAATTGCTTCTCCTCAGCATCTCAAGATGCCTGAAAGGACTGGCCCACACTGCCCGAGGTCCCCTGCCAAGCGCTGCTTCCTCTCCTCTAACTGGCACCTCCCCAAGCCCAGGGAGAAGCCTGCCCGCCACCTGGGTGCCGGATGCAGGCCCTTTCTCAGGACAGGCCAAGGGGGACTAGGGGTTCAAGCCTCGGAGCGGCTGGCCGAGCGGTTCCCCCAAGGCCAGTAGGGTCAGCTGCTGGAGGACCCCAGCGGTCTCACCCACCATCTCAGCAAGGCAGCACCAGCCCCATGCTCAGCAACATTATGGAGGCAACTTGCTTGCAGCACAGAAGCCCCAGAGGGCCGCCCAGCAAAGGCAATGAGACGCATCAGGGGCTGGCCTGAGTTAGGTGGGCAAAGGGAGCCCCCTTCATTCGTAGAAATGTGCTAGCCATGCCAAACTGGGTGGGAGCTGCGTACAAGTGCCCAGAAAAAGGTCCCGAGGTCACGGGGGAGGGTTCAAGGAAGATGTGCACTCAGGGCATAGCAGTTGCGAGAAAAGCAAATTCCACGCCAAGGACCATTAGGAAAGGGACAGAAAATAAAACTGCCAAATACTGTAACACCCTTTTTATACCAATCTCTGCATCTCGGCATCTGGAGTAGTATGTACAGGTCTGGTTGGGAGACCTTAGAGAAGGTATACAACAGAGCTGGAAAAGATACAACAAGGGCTACAAAATTATCTGGGGGCTCCAACACTCTCCTTGCAAGACACAACATCAGGGAGAAGTCCTCCTCCCCCCGGGCTCTAGGGCCAGAGTCATCCAATAATGGATGGGCCAGGGGGAGATTCAGAACAGACAAAAGGGACTCGACCTGGAGACGATGCTGCACACTAACAGACTACGGCCTGCATCCCACCGCCCCGGAGGTGTGGGCTGAGTGCTCGGATGCCGTCGCCAGCATCGCCAGGCTGCCCGGTGTGAAAATCATAGTGCAGGAATTTCTAAACCGAGGGCGCACTTAGCTAGTCAAGGCACCTGTTCCTGCTGGTAGGAAGCCACCCAGGGCAAGCGGCCTCTGAGAATCCGCCACTCTCACATTTACCCGTCTGCCTTACTGGAATGCCTTCAAAGCAGCTTACTGCAGGTCAGCTCCGCAAGGCCCTTCTGCCTGTAGCAGCCAGAAGTCTGGCCTCTTTCATCACCATCGTGGGGAGAGACTGGGGGGCAGGACTGGGCGTTCCCAGGAAGATTTTAGGAAACTGACAAAGTTCACACACCTTCTGCCAACTATTTATGGCACTTGCAGCGTGACACTCTTGGATTTCTTTAAAAAAATACCGTTTTGTCTGTTTCTGCTTTTTCATACGTATTTTATTATTTATGTTTGACCTAAGACATTTCACATGCGCCTCAAGGAGCACTGGAACGGTGAAGAATCCCAAATCCGTTCTCCATACCCACATCCAGCCTTTCTGTAACTGAACCAGTTGCAAACCGGGTGCTCGCAGCTGATTTTTAATGCTGTTTCCAAAGCCACACTGATGACTCCGCTACAGCCCCTTTGCCACAGGAAGGTGGGCCAAGAGGCTGGCTGTTCCTCAGACACAAAGACCACCAGCCAGAAACCAAGTTCTTCCTGCCAAAAGTGCGGCGCTGAGTCTCAAATTTAGACAGTTCAACAGAACCAGCACTAGGGACATCTTCTCCTCCACCTGCTAGGAGTGCCCAGAGAGCAGCATCTTGCAAAGGAGAAAAGGAATAGGCCCCATTTGCACACATACTCTGTTTCAGGAGTCCAGAGTTGAAGCATACCCAAGTAACCAGCCAGTCCTCAAACATCTGCAGTGAAAAGAACTGGCCCGCTGCTCCCTTGGCCTCCGAGCCAACTGAGTCAGGAGGACGCATGAAAGCTCCCAAGCTCAGACGCAGAACACACACCCAACGGCAACACCCGTCCTCCTCGGATGGACTGAGGGGGTGGCTTTAGCTTTCACCCAAGAAAATGAACACCACGGAGGATGGCAGTGACCAGCAGGAAAAGAAGAGCAACTGAGGGGTCCCCAGAGTGAGATCCCAACAGAGATGTGGGTGCTCAGCTGTTTCCCTCTTAAAACCAAAATCTCCAATCGATCTGCACAAGCCAGGTTAGTGTGTGATCACTGGGTGGCCAGACCAAGATATTAAAATCTGCTCCTGATGCAAAGCCCTCTTCGAAGGGGCTGAAGCTCAACCAAGATCATCCCGAATCAGCCGACGTCCGTAGGAACACAGCGCCTGAAAGGCAGGTGTCTTACCTGAGGGCCTTCGCCTTCCAGCCTAGGAGGCCGGATGCTGGAGAGGTGGATTGTTTTATAGTCCCCAGAATTCAGCTTCACCACGATGGCATCCGCATTGAGCACCTGCATCACCTGGGAAGACAATGGAGCAAAGACTGAGGCACAGCAGGCACCAGGGCAGGCGGGCAGGCAGCCCACCAGCCCCCCTCCAGCACAGCCAAGAGAACCCCTCAGGGGAGGATCAGCTTCGCAGCAACTCGGAAGGCTAAATGCCGGAGCAAAGGTCTTCCCCTAACAGTCACCCACCACGCCACATTGAGGATGTTTCAGAAGCAGAAAAAACAGCCATCCTCGGCAGTCCCACCACTGGCCGCATGAGTCTGCCATGCTCAATTGGCCTGGTGGTGGCTCTAACTACAGCCCCCCTTGCTCTCTACCTCGTGATGCCTCAGAGTCTAGGAATCTCTCTGCCCAGAGCTACAGAGCCCTTCTAGCTGCCACAAGTCTGGGACAAGCCACGGTCCAGCAGGCATGGAAGAACCAGAGGGACACTCCACCCAAACTTCAACCTGGCCCCCAGCAGGTGCAGCAGCCATTCAGCACCCAGCACCAAGGACAGAAGAGGAAAGCCACCAGCTTGTCCCCCTGCTATACAAAGCCTCTGGATCTGCAGGGGGCACGATCCGAAGAGGACCAGGATGCTACCCAGTGCCAAACAAGATTAAACAGGCAGGGTTCACCATTTCAAGGGTCAGGGTTGCTCTCCTGGACCGCCTTTGTGGAAGGGCTCAGCAAAAAATGAAATTTATTATACCAAAGTATACACTGCCTGATTTACCAAATGCCCTCTGCATCCCCAACGATTCCCTGAGCTGCCCCATTTTTTTCTTCTCAGTGGAATGGTCTGTGACTTATCTTTTAGAAATTCCCAACTCTCCTACACTCCCAGTAGCTTGAGGAATTCTGCTGATGAGATTCTGCCCAGTAGATTTTGAAATTACCTAGTGTGCACATATGAGCATGGCTTGTACAATCCAGAATCCTAAGACCACCTGGTCACTTCCTCCCAATGTTCCCACAGCTTTTCTCTCTTCAACCATTTTTCCCTGTGGGTTAGGGCCAGATCTAGAAGGGCCAATCTCTTTGTCCCTTCTTTAGCTTTCTGGAAAATGACAATCAGGAAGACCACGAAGGAATCTGGGGGATCTTGCAATCTTGGCCCGGCTGATATTCCAACAGATGATATAACAAAGGTATCAGATGAAGAACAGTTTTTCTTCTTCAGCTAAAGATGCACGCCTTATTTCTGAACAGGTGCCCTTTAGACATCTCTAGCAGATAGGGGCAGGCTTCAGGCTCCGCTTCCTCCTACAACCTCAGGGCCACTAAGGGTTGGCTGGGTCAAAACAGGGCTCAGGGCACAGGCAGGTAGAATACGGTCCCTCAGAACCAAGTGTGCAATTGCTTGACATAAATGCACACCGCTGGGGCTTTTTAATTACAGTTGACTAGCTTAAGGCATCACGGATGTATTGCTATTGCTGTTAAGAACTAGGAATCAGAAATGGTTATCTGCAGCAAATCCCCTTGAACAATTGCCCTTCCCTGTTTTGCAAGAGAAGCCATAGAGATTTTATTTATTAATTCATTCATTCATTCAATTTGTATAGCTGCCCACCTCACCCACACACCTGGGTGGCTAACAATTAAAAACAATAGCAAGAATAAACAATATAAATAAAAACAACAAATGTACAATTGTACTGTATGCTGACGATGCCGAAACGTCTATGTCGCTACTTAGCTGAAAATATATGCTGATGGAATATATTTAACCCTCAGCTTCGGCGTTTTTTAGCTGAAGATTCTGCTCCACTTCCCATCCGCCACGGGGAGCCGTTCGCTTCGGTGACAACTCTGGGGCTGAAGGGGGAGCCAGGGCCTCCCTCCAGACTCACCGCCCGCTCTCCTCTCTGCCCTTTGAAGGTGCCCCACTGGCCAGCCAAAGACCACAAGGCGACCAAGCCGGGGGGATCTCCAGCACCACCACCGCCGCCAGCAGATGGATTAAGCTTGCTCCCTTTTCCAGAAATGGTGGGTGGGGGCAGAAGGAGAGCGCCACATGGCCCAGCCTTGCCTGAAAGCTGTGTGCAAAGTGAGACCGCCATGAATCTGGCGGCCTGCACAACGAAGCCCTTTCATCGTAGTCTTCACCTGCTCTGAATCGTGGGAGAGAGGAGGGGGCTCCTGGCCGCCCGTCCCTCAGCTCTCGCTTTCTCTCCCCGCTAGAGAGTTGCCTTTTTCAGGGCCAGCAAAGGCTTTACTTTTCCACCAAGGGGTGCTGTAACTCAGACACGTAGCTCGACCTTGGGCCAGAGGGGAGGAGAGCCAGTCCCGGTGTCACGCTCGGCTACCTGCAGGTGTCCCTAAGCACGGGACGATGCCAGCCCCCGCCCACCCAAGGCCCCGGGGCACCCTTCAGGCCCAACCTCTAAGCCTCTGCAAAGGGGGCGGGTGTTGAGGGAAGCCACGCCCTCCTGGGTGTGGCTCCTCTTGCTGGACACGCCCACGTGAGTGGTGGGGCAGGTGGGGCCCGCGGGGCCCACTGCTGTCGGAGTAGGATGGGGCAGGACAGCAAAGCCCCCAGTCCCTGCCTGTGCCCCTCTTCCTCCAGCAATTCCTGACCTCCAGGAGCGTCCACCCCCACTCCCCAGGCTTTCTTGTCAGCACAGGCTGCTCAAGGCCCCTCCCGGTTCAGGCCCCAGCAGCTGGAGGGCCCCCAACAGCAGCTGGAAAAAGGGTTTCTGGGGAGCAGGCCACATCTGTCCAGCAAAGAACAGAGGGAGAGCCCTGACGGGTGCCCGGATGCCGCTGACGACAGCCCAGCCAAGGGCTCCTCCCAATCTTCAGCCCCACCGAGGCCAGCCTGCTCCTTCCCCCTCCGGCCAGGTGCTCAGACAAAACCCCCCGGGGCCCCCCTGGCACCTGCTTTCAAAGGGAACACGGAGGCAGAGTTCCAGAAGAGTTCCTGGACAGCAGAGCAGGGAGGCGGGAGGCGCTCTCCAAGAAGTCACACCAGGCCTGGCCTCCTTGGCCCAAGCGGAGGGCTGGCTCCAGCACCCCGCTGGACACAGCAATGGCACCACCTAGTGGCCGCTGCCAAGCTAACGCTGAGCTCTGCAGCATCCCTCCCCGCCAGGCAGGGTCACCAGATCTTCCGGATGCTGCTCTGGCACCCCCAGCACGCAGGGGACAAGCCGAGCTGCCCGGCACAAGGGGCTGCCCCAGGACACGTCCATCTAACAGGGATCTGCCAGCAAGGGGTCGCTTCCCGCGCAAGCCGCTGGTTGGCCATGACGACTCCCTTCATAGGAACCCAGGGCCGTGTCAGAAGGCAGATCTGCACCAGTGGGGCCAGGCAGCTGAGGGCAGCCCTGTGACAGCCTCGCGCCTGGGCCCCCGCGAGGAGAGCAGGCGAGCACCTGCCCGCACCAGCGGCACCATCCTGCCCGCGTGTTCTTTCAGCCTTACCGCGACGGAGGAACCCCTGCGGACGAGGCCAGGGACAGCACCGCCCCTGCTCCTGGACAACCCCCGGTGGACCCTCTCCTCCAGCCCCCAAAGCCCCCGCAGGCCAAATCCAGGCGGTCGCGCGTCCCCTCCAGGAAGCCCCGCCCCGCCACCGAGGGGCAGCTGCAGCTCTCACCTACCTTGGCCAGGAACTGCTTCTCCTTCTGATCCAGGTTGGCTGTGGGAGCCACGTAGTCCCTCCAGATCCTCAGCTTGTGTTCTTTGGCATACCTGGGCCAACAGCAGCAGGAGAGGAGGAGGCTTAACCCGTGCCCCCCCCACTGCCCAGCGCAGCGGCCCGCTGGCCCCTGGGCAGCTGCCGACCCCAGGCCCCGTCGGAAGTTGCTTCCTGACTCCAGGCAACGTGCTCTGAGCTTGTCAACATGCCCAGCGACAGACCAGAAGCCTGGCTCTGAAGCCGGGGAGGCAGGGCTGGCAGATAAACGGGGTGTGCCGGCAGCCAACCTGAGCTGAGCATTCACGCAACCGGGTTCTACCCAGAGGCTGCCGGCGAGACGGGGGCCGTGTGAACGGAAGACAGCACTGCCCCCACAGCAGGCATCCACACCTTCATGGTCCCCAGGATGGTGCTGGTTATGAGTTCTCAGCAGGGGGAAACCGGCGAGAAGAGGCCAAAACACGCAAAAGCTTTCCAGGCTCTGAGACACCCACCCTCCTCTCCTTGCTGGAAGCGCCTGGAGTTCCAACGAGGCGCCGTACGGTCACTCCCACAAGGGAGTGCTTCCGCTACGGGCAGAACTGAAACAGCCGCTTCAGACCCAAAGTGTTACTAATTCAAAATACTTTGCAGACGTCTGCAAGAGACCCTGTTATTTCTGCCAAAGCTGTAGCTACTGCAGCAGGTTCTGCACACTCAACGGCTTCACCCGTTAACGCCTGAGTGCCAGAGATCTCAGAGAGGGAAGTGGCGGCAGGCAAAAGGGAACTTAACAGAGTGCCCAGCTGTGACCCACACACCTGGGGAGAAGTCTTCGAGGGGAAAGCATATACCCCAGAGGCTCCATCGAGGGGCAGCAGGAAGACCCTCCATGCCTCCATTTCAGCCCCAAAGCTGCTTTGCTTTTAAGGTGCCTTTTCAGAGCCCCCTCCGAGGAAGAAGAGGCCGCAGCCAGGCTTCTCAGCACCTGGACTCCAGCTGCTGTGGGGGGGGAGGGGCTGGATTACCGTTCCGCGGCGCGCAGCTTCTCTGCCCCTCGGGTGTAGACCGCCATGGACCAGTCGACGCAGCGCGCGAAACCTTCCTTCAACAGCAGCTCCGTGATGTTCCCGTTCTGATGGGGGAGGAGAAAAGAGGGCGGTCACTTGCGCCGTGACCACCCCCTGCCCCAGCCACCAGCCCTGTTCCCCGGGCAGCCTCCCCACCAGGAGCAGATCTGCTTCACGCTCCTGGCCTCTGGGCAGCCACATCTGCCAGACTGGGACAGCCTCCTTCCCATTCAAACAGGCGCCGGGGATGACATCAGGGCACAAAGACCCTCTCTGGCACCTGCCCCCTGGCTGCCCCACACAGAACAGAGCAGGGCTAGTTCAAGGAAGGGAGAAATGGGTAACCAGTTATGAGGAGAGCAAGCTGAGATGGGAAACCAACAGTGCCACGGCCAGGGCGGATCTGCACCGGGGCGCTGGGAAACTTCAGGCCCAGATCCAGCAGAGGCCAATCCGCTCTCCCAGGACAAAAGCTGTCGCCCCCCTGGGCTCAGCGGTTTGGGAACGGGAAGAAACTGGACTAGAGGGGCTCCGTTCTATCGACAGAGCCACCACCAGACAGTGGCAATGAGATTTGTGTTTGGCCCACAGCAGCTGAGTTGTGGGGGTCCCAAAATAAGGACCCTTGCCCCGCTGTTCAACCCTACACGAAGCCACAGGAACTGGAAGGCGCTGCCATCAAGACGCCCTCGCTTGCTCACTCTCCCTCCCCCTAGAACAGGCAAGGCCATACAGATGTGTGACGGGCAGTTAGAAGCAATGACGGGCTGGGCAGACTGAAGCTGAGTCCAGACGGCCACGTTGCAGCCTAGGAAGTGGGAAGCACACCTGCACCAACCACAGGTGTGGCTCATGGGCTTCCTTGATTCCAGTCTGTCACCAGAAGCTTGGCAGTTGTACTGGCAAGGAGCACACATGCCCAGCTTCAGTTGGTACATCAACTGCAACTCTACCCAGCAGTTTCCCTCAGTGATCTGTCCTCAAAGCACCTCACACCTGCAATTCTGCAAAGCACCCTGCCTGGAGCTACATCTGAAGGCAGACAGACCCTGCAACCGGTGCAGGGGACGGATACCCAACACGCAACCCACTTGTGAAAGCGTTGCACTGGATGCCCAGAGCTGACGGGGCCTTCCTCAACTGCTCGGAACCTAAGCACAAAACAGTTGCCTGGAAGGAGACTGACTCGCGGCCCCAGGGGCTGCTGTGGCCCCTGGTGGGTGGCCGGGAGCAGGAGGCGGCCAGGAGTCTCTTGCGCAACAGGCCTCCGTGCTGGGAGACGTTTAGCAGCCTCAAGCCACTCCCAACAACTGAAAATGCACCTCTTCGCCCCTGACTGTGCATGGTAAGAACTGCAGCAGGGCCTTTCTGAAATGAAATTTGTTCTCATTTTCCTATTTTTATTGCCCTTTAGCAGGGGCACTTCATTGCTGACTGTGCTTAATATGCTTCGGTGGGCCCTTTCAAAACAAAGCCGTATAAAACTAAAGTTATTAACAATAACAGTAATAAATGGTGGGGCCATCCAGTGGCTCCTTTGCTTCTTGGTAGCCTTGGCCACTCAAAAGACTGGGGGGGGTGTTTCCACCTGCCCTGAAGGAGCAGGGGTGCAGCTCCTCCTCAAGAAGCCGTTCTGTACAATTTTCACTCGTTCCCCAGGCTTCCCTTTTCGGAGAAGGTTGTAGAGGTGGTGGTCAGACTACAGCTTCAGAAGGCCCTGGCCCCTTTCTAGCCGGGCACACAATATGAAGATAGCACGGGTCACCCTTGTTGATGACCCCTGAAGGGACTGGTATGGAGGAGGTGGGACTGTCCCAGTTCTGCTTGGTCTCTCGGTGATCTCTGATACCACCAGTCATGACACCCTCTGGAATGACTGTGGGGATTAGGGTGTGCGAGGTTCTCCTCCTTGCTTTGCAGGCAGGCAAAGTTCCAGTTGGTGTCGATGGGGAGGAAAGGTCAAGGGTGCCACAGGTCTTGATGCTTCTGCCCCTCCTGCTGAACATCTACATGAACCCACTGGGGAAGACCAAGCAGTGATGGGGAGCAACAGGCTGACACCCAACCCTGACAAGTCCAAGTGACTGTGTGCTCCTGGTTCTTCTGCTATCATGGATTTTTTGACTTTAGTTCTAAATGGGGTAGCCCAGTGGTCTTCCCTGAAGAGCAAATGGCAACCGTGGCCTGGAAGACTTTGACCTGGTTTCGTCTTGTGCGCCAATTGTGCCTCTTCCTGGACTGTGAGTCAGTCATGCGTGAACTACTGCAATGAACTCTATCTGGGCTGCCCCGACGGCCACTTGAAAACTGCATCTGGCCCAATGTGGCGGCACAAACATTTATGGGCACACCTCTGCTGCTCAAGCTGCACTGGTTGCAGTGAGCTTCCCAGTGCGATTCAAGGTACTGGCTATCACCTCCGTAGCCCTCCATGGCAGAGGGGATGCCCATCGGAGCAACCGCCGACCCCATATCCTTTAAATGAGCTTTGAAGACCCGGCTTTTTCCCCACGCTCTGTGTGTACCTGCCTGAATGGAATTAATTTATTAAGAGTTTTTAACTTGTATACTGCCCAAGTTGTTATGAGTTGGGTGGCTTTATAAATAACGATTTTCAAATAAACAAACTGTCCAGCCAGACTTTCTAGCTGCTCTCCCTCACCCCAACTCCAATCTCCTCTTCTGAGCATGACTCTGAATGACTCCCAGAAGGTTCACACAAAGCTGCCACCCCACCTGCGCTGAAGGCCTTTGCCACTTCTCAGATGTGGGGGCCACAAGCTCTCTGTCTCTCACAGACCTCTTGGTATGCCCGGGACACTAGCCTCCCCTTCACAAGCGCCCCCTGCCCCCACTTGCCGGGTGCAAGATGGTGCCCAGGATGTTCTGGTTGTGGCAGCTCTCGAGCACAATCTGCACGTCTCTCTGCAGCAGCCGCGACTCCGTGAAGAACTTGGCTTCTGCCGCAAAGGGCTCTGGTGTTTCCGTGCCATCTGCTTCCCGCTTGAACGTGGGGCACTGGAGTGAGAAAGCAAAGTCAGGGCAGAGCCCCACAGCAGCCCAGGAGGGAGGGGAGCCCGCAGCAGCTTCTATTCAGCTCCAGCATAGTGCCATACGGTTGGTGCCAGGCATGCAGGGCCCACTCACCCAGTGCCACAAGGACCCCCTGCGTCCAGGCCTCTGGAGAATGAACACGCACACACACGCCATCTCTCAACCTCCACATCCACTATGGAAGTGGGGGGCTATCTAGAAAAGGACATCCCACCAGCATTCATTAAGAAGGTGGGAAAACTCAATCTTTGGCCTCCTACCTGCACATAAAGGGTGGCATAAAGACCAGAAAGGGGAAGCCGCCTCCATCAAGAGAGATCTGCAGCTCAACTTGAGTAGGGAGCCACTGATGTACAACCTCACAAAGCCCTAAGTTCACACCCAGAAAGAGGGTCTCAGCTGCCTGTACCAGCCTGGAAAAGGTCTTGGGGCCCTAGCGGAAAGTTCAGTACAGATGTGGACTCCATGTGGGACAGCTGTGCCAAAGCCAATCTTGGGCTAGGGATCATTCAGAAAGGGATGTAAACTAAAACTGTAACGCTCTTATACATCTACCACAGCATCTGGAGTAGTATGTACAGGTCTGGTTGCCACTTTAGAGAAAGTATACGACAGCTTGGTACCAGGCGGCCATCAGCAGGCACAGAGATAAACCACATTCAAAAGGGACAATAAATAGGAAGACAAAAGACCAGAACATCTCCTCTCCAGCCATCATCACCCAGATAAGCAGAGATTAACACCAAGATTATCACCAGACATACAATCAGCAGT